TTCTGCCCAGGAACATGGAGGCTTCCGGAGAGCAGGGCCCAGGCTCCCAACTCGCAGCCCACCTCTCTGCTTTTGTAAGTCCCCTTCCCCCATCCCACCATGGGGCCTCCTGTGCACCCCACTTGCTTGGCCCAGCTTTACCTACAGCCTTGGAGACAGGGTGCCCCTCCGGTTTAGAGGTGCACGCCTGACTCCTTGCATCACTGACTCATGGACCAGGCCCCTGAGGGTTCTGGAAGGAGACTAGGGCTGCCTGATCAGGGAATTCTGGGGTCTTGAGGTCCCAGAGCATGTCCAGAAGCGGGGGCCCATCTTGCTCCTGGGGATCCCTTGCCCTGTGGGGAGAGACTCTGGCCTGAGTCTAAGGGCAGTATTGATGCTAATTCCACTCCACATAATTTATGGAGCACCTACTGTGTGCCCCACCTACCTGTTGTAGGTGCTGGGGATTCATCCCTGAACAAAACAGAAGTTCCTGCACCCGCGTTCTAGTGGGGAAGACAGGCAGAAAATAAAGAAACTAATGACTATTTTATTTTCTATTTATTTATTTATTTTTTTTTTATAGGAAGAACTGATTTTTTTTTTTTGAGAAAGATTGGCCGTGCACTAACATCTATTGCCATTCTTCCTCTTTTTCTTTCCTTTTTTTCCTCCCCAAAGCCCCAGTACATAGTTGTACATCATAGTTGTAGAGATGTAGCTCTTCTATGTGGGATGCGGCCACAGCATGGCCTGATGAGTGGTGCATTGGTCTGCGCCCTGAGTTGGAACCAGCGAACTCCCGCCGGCAAAAGCAGAGCACGGGAACTTAACCGCTACGCCACCAGGCCGGCCCCTAACAATAATAACTATTTTAAAAAACAGATATACTATATTTCATGTGGGTGACGCGATTAGTGTGGTGCCTGACAGGTACCAGGTGCCCAGGGAGCATCATCGTCAGCTCAGACCTTGGGGTTGGTCTTGGCGCTGGGAAAAGATGCTCCATCCTTCTCCGCGGTTCCCTCCTTCCGCCGCCAGAGGGCGCGCCGTGCCCCCCACCCTCGCCCCGCCAACCCCGGCCTCAGCACTCTCCGCGGGCTTTTCCCTGAATGTTATAGTCACGGGGCGGCCTCAGCCTCACAGGGGTCCTGTTCTTTGATTTTCCTGGGGGCCTGCCTCTCCTGGGGAGTGAATTGCTCCTAATGACAGTGGTTTGCTCCTAATAACAGTAATAGAAACCATAATATGAAGAACGAAGAGCCAAGAGTTCCTGAGTTTACGTTGATGTCGAAGATCACACAGCACTTTATCTCTGAGCTGAGTCTATAGGCACAAGTAGCCAGAGAGAGAGAGGCTGTCGCTGCAGAGGGACCAGCATGAGCAAAGGCTTGGAGAAGAGAAGAGGCAGGGGAATGTTGTGGAACTATGATGGAAACCAAGCACCAAGAAGTTAAAAAAATCTTCCTTAGTGGCCAGCCGGTGGCATAGGGTCAAGCGCGCGCTCCGCTTTGGTGGCCCAGGATTTGCAGGTTCCAGACCCCCGGTGCACACCAATGCACCGCTTGTCAAGCCATGCTGTGGCGGTGTCCCGCATAAAGTGGAGGAAGATGGGCACTGATGTTAGCCCAGGGCCAATCTTCCTCAGTAAAAAGAGGAGGATTGGCATTGGAGGTTAGCTCAGGGCTGATCTTCCTCACACACACACACACAAATCTTTCCTAGAGCAAAAAACTTTGAGATGAGCTTTGCTAACTGCAGCTGTGCATACTCAGCATAATCAACTCTTGTGTAAAACTAACCAGGTCTTTCTGTCCATCTTTAGTATACGAGTGAGCTGTGTTTCCCAGGAAATCAAGGTCCAGACGTCAAGATTCAGCCTCACAAGGCCAAACACAGGCTGAAGATGACAACTAAACAGAAAAGTCCAGACAGTCAAGGGAAGAGAAATTCAGTCTTCAAGGCCAAAGGCAGGCTGGTGGGAAGGTGCCAACCAGCACAGCCACACACTCCCCTTCCCCTACCTAAAACCCCAGCATATGCTCTCCCTCCCCTATCTAAAACCCCAGATTAAAATCCCTACCTTTTTCCCTTTGAGAAGGTGGATCTGAGTTCTAACTCCCATCTCCTCGTGTGGCTGCCTTTTGATAGTAAACCTCTTTCCTTGCAACAAGACTGGTGTTTCACTTTTTTCTTTATTGGCCCTACTATGTGTGGGTAAACGAACTGTGTTTGGGTTTGGTAACAATTTGGTGAGCCAGGCAGGGGACTCTTTGCCCGTGGCTCTGCAGGCCTGGGCCAACTGGGATTTCCTGGGCAGCAGTCCAGCAGCTGCCTAGGTGATTTGTCCTGGGGACTGTCCCCAGTACTTTCCATCTGACCAGGCACTGCTGGCCCTTGGGCCATTTTTCTTGTGGCAAGGAAACAGGCTCTAGATTTGTTTGTCTGTCTTTGCTTCTGGTTTGGACCAGATGTCCTTGTGGTGAGTTTCCTTGTTAAAAGTGACCGAGTCCTATTTTCTCTTGCTTTGTTTGCCTCTGTTTCAGGGGATTTGTTCCAGGTTACTGGAGTTTGTTCAGGGAGGGCCCCAATTGTTGAAAGGACTAACTCCGGGCTCCAACCGTGTTACTTGTGGAGTATCCACAGCAGGAACCTAGCCTCCCCGCGTATTCTGGCCGGGCATGACGGGAATCTTCATCCTGACTGCTCTTGATCCCCCATTTCTTAGGGTTATATTGACAACAAGCCGCCTTGAAGGGTGAGGGAACATTTCCCCCAGGTAGAGCAGGCTCACTCACTGCTTCTGTAAAAGTGGAGGATTCCCCAAGCTCGGTGTCTTCAGGTGGGAAATGGCCCTAATGCACGTGCATGGTGGACTCTGGCTCCCTCTGTGTCAGCCCCATGGTACTTGGGGGGAAAACAGGAACCAAAACATACATGCTAATGCTCATACCTTTGATGTGCTGTGAGTACCAAAGTCCTTTGTCTCTGACCCAGGTGTTTTGTGTCTTCTGCCAACGTTTATGAAACAGTTACAGAAGAATTTGTTGGCTTGTAAGTGGAGTAAATTCCCAGACCCTGACAGTTCTATTGGTGAATTCTATCAACCATTCAAAGAAGAAACAACAACCTCATACAAACTCTTTCAGAGAACAGAGGTAGGGAATACTTCCCAACTTATTTTATGAGGCCAGCATAATCCAGATACCAAAACCACAAAAAAAGATTATTACAGAAAAAGAAAAATCACAGACCAATGTCCCTCATGAAAATAGATGCAAAAACGCCTAACAAATTGTGGAAAAACAGAATCCAGCAGTGTTACCATGACCCAAGGGTTAACCCAGCAGCACAGGTGTGCTTAACCTTCAAAAATCAATCCGTGGACCCAAGCATCTGTCCCTGTACCTGAGAACAGCCCTGGGCAGCTCTGAGGGGGAGGGACAGGTTGTAATTCCCACCGTGACTGTCAGTTCCAGTTAATTAAAGATCATACTGGCCTAGCAAGAGTATCCTCATTCTTAAAGGGATTAATGTGCTGCTCTGGCAGAGGATGGAAATTAAGTGGAGATCAAATAACTTTGCCAACTACAGTTGATTGTTCTTAGTTCCTGAGGAGATAGATGTTGAAGAGTGGACTTCCCGGGAGGAAGATGCACCCACAGTGTAGAGACTGAAGGAGGGAATGGCAATGTGGCCACACAACGAAATACACAACTGGAACCTGGCAAATTAAGGACATGAGAACAACTAGAAGGAACCCTCAGAAAATCAGTATTGAGAAGAGTGAACCATCAAATTTTCACTAGTAAATTGGTAGCCCTGATTTCTCTAGTAAATGAGCAGCTACACAAGATATGCTTTTTATTCATCAGTTTCCAGAATTAGGTGACAGAGATACCTGGCAGGGACCTACTGATGCTGGGGAAGAAGGTGTGGCCTGGCAAGCAGAAGTTCTGAAGCAGCAGAAAAGAGCAGACAGAGAACAGAGAGCAGCAGAGAACAAAGGAAGAAAATGGGAAAGGAAGCACAGTGAGAAATAGGGAAGGAACGATTGAAATCGACTTGAAACTTCCATAGCGAATGTTCTTCAAATGTCGTAGCGCCAGTAGCAGAAGTCTGAGCTCCACAATCCAAACATTTGTATGTATTTAAGAGTGTGTTTAGAATGCAAAACTTGATTTTAATACATTCATCAGGCCATCCAGGATCCCCCAAAGTACCTTGAACTCTTAGGGATCGAGACTCCGAAGAACAAAAGACGAATGAGACAATATTTTATGCAACTTGCTGCCGATATAAGACAATTGTTTGCGGAAGAGAAATTATCATAAGGGGAATATGCCAGTGCCTCTTCAAGTTACTTTCTAGCTAAATAAATGGGTTTAAACAATTTTATGGTGGAAAAACTCACTGCTGTCTATTATGCTTTCCATCAGTGTTTGTAATGATAAAATAAATAATTTAAAATACTTCTTGTTTCCGTGATTATGGAGAGGCCTAAGGGGCTGCGTGGGACATAGGGAAGGACTGGGATGCGCAGTTGGAATCGGTGGGCGGGGTCTGTGGGGAGATGGGCGGGGCTTGAGGCGGCATCAGGAGCTGGGCCTGGAGATGGGGACGAGAAAGGGGCGGGGCCTGAGGGTCTAGTTGAGCGAGGGGGCGGGGCCGGGAGGTGGGAGATCCGGTTGATGTCAGCTGGCATTTATGGGGGTGGGTGGCGAAAACTTGGGAAGGGTTTCAGGGAGCTGGCGGAGACCTCAGGAAGAAGGGTCCGGGGAAGGGGGTGTGTTGGGATGTGGGGAGGTGACTGACGTGTTCTTTTGGGGGCTCTGTGGGGCTCCGAGAGGGGCGGAGCCTGGGAGAAGGTGTCTGTGAGGGTCGAGTGCCAGGGCGTGAATGTCTGGGAGTTGATGGGGGATGGACCTGAAGGTTCGGGGATGGTTGGATCCGGGAAGAGGCTTGGGGTAGGAGCCGTCCTGGCCGGCGGGAAACCGACAGTGGGTCCTGGGCTCCAGGAGACGGACTCCGCCGGTGGTGCCGCCCGCGGCCCGGGAGGATCGGGCCTCGCCGTCCCGGGAGCGCTCCAGGTCGCGTGGCCGCGGCGCCGCCCGCTCCTCCTCCCGGGACAG